GCTTAAATGGAACGAGATAGGGGAGTTATTAGATAAAGAATAGGCTTTGTTTTTAAATGGGTTGATCGGTGAAATCGCCCAAGTCTGATGCTGTTTACTTCGCCCCCTCAGAGAGCAAGGACTCTGGATCAGCTTGTTGCCTGTTTATGTCTTTAAGCTGGTTTCATTTTGTGCACAGCTGGCTGAAATGTCCAGGGAGGATTCTGTAACAATCCTCCTCTCTCTCCCAAATACTTCTGTTAACCAAAAAGAAAGCACATTTTGTATCAGAGATTATATGCCCATGAAATACTAGCTGAGTAATATATGGAGGTCTTTATGTCCATGCTCTCAATAACTCTTGTACCACTGCTCACAGAAAGACTAGGCTACTGTTTAAATCTTCTACTCCAGTGAATAATGATGAGAAAGTTGTTATTCAGAGCCAACTATCCTGATAAACATCATGACAGTGTAAGGACATGACCCCAAATATTGGAACATCACATTTCTTTTGCTGGTGTGCAATAAACAGCATTTTTAGCTGCAACCATGCATTAGGATTAAAGAAGAAAAAAAAAAAAAAGAAAAGGGACTGCCAATATTGCATCAAGGACCTAAATTTGCAGGCTACAACTCAGCTGATACATCAAAGCAATTCACTTTATTAGGCAGCCCATAAGAATTCAGAAATCCTGAGTAGTTTATAGTGCTTTAGTTAAATCATGACAGTGTCATACATCATGCAGCGATACAGTAATGACATGGGATATATTATATTCTGCAGTTACTGAAAGATTATAAAGTCATGAAACAGACCACAGCAGTTTTAATTTTTTATGTTGCTAACTGTATATTGACCACAGACAACATAAGCTTTGCATAAAGTACTCTTGCTCATGTCAAAAGCCATTGATACTAGGTATTAGACCTTTCTAAAGTCTACTTTTTGTTTCTAAAATGTATTAATACTATTTTCCTTCCTGCTTTGCGGTAGCTGAACAGTTGGTTTCCTTTAGTTACTGTGACTCATGGCAACAGTGGAAATCCAACTTTACAGATGGATGAGAAAAATAGGAGCAATTAAAATGAAGAATGCTGAATATTTTCTAAAATAGCTTGCGCCAAATTTAGAGGTATGTTTCAGTGAAGCAAAGCCTTAGATATCTCCCCAAATAAAGACAATACTATTAGGAGTGTTACACTTGCCTCAAGTTAGAATAGAATTTTATTGCTCATCTCTTATTTGCAGATAACACTTGCCTGTACTAACTGATGATCCACATCTCTTAAACAGACATTGCTCACAAGGAACTTTTGGTAAATGTTACTGTCAGTGCTGCAGATTTTAAGCAACTGGTTCTAAAATCATATTCAGAAGCATGGAGTTGGCACACTGTCTGTGGATAGCGTTGGGATCTTTGCCATGTTGGCAAGTATCAGTTTCCAGATCAATCAAGAATTAAAAGTCAGCTCATTAAATATATGCTCAAAAGCAATACACACACACACACATATATATACATGTATATATGCACACATACATACACACACACACACGTATGTGTAGGCAGGCCAGTGTTCAAATACTGAGGGAATTTAAGGGATGACTCCTGCAATGATCGCAGAGGTGCACAGACACTTGCCTAGTTTCCCACTGACACTATGAGGGCAGCCCTGGGCCCATCCAAAGGGCTACGAAGGACTGCAGTTACCAGTGCAGGTCAGGTAGGAGACTCCCATAGGTTGGGGATAACTTTACTAAGAACAAGATGTGCTTCTGCTTAAGACTAGAACGATGTGCACTCCAAACGAAGCCAGGGAATACTGCACAGAATTACTTGAGTGAGATTCATTAGTCACTCTGCCTCTCACCTGCCTCCCCACTCTTCTCAATAGCCTCTAGAACGGCTCTGATGCCAGGCAGTGAACACCAGTTTTTATCCCAGCCCTGCTCATCACTCTGCGTATCAGAGAGGGAAGAAGGGCTGGACTGTCTTGCAGCCCACTTCATTGCAGAATAAGAGCCAAACTGACTTTGCATGAGCACTGAGGTACCTATAAATACCAATTCTGGTACCTAAAGATATGCACAGATCTTGGGAAACCTGCAGAGATGAGACACATATGCCCACTCTTCTGCTTCACCCCACCAAAGAATATAGCCGTGTGCAATTCTACTAATCTGTACTGGGTTAAAACATGGAAAGGAACCTACCAAGGGCAATCCCTACCCTTATTCTTTACCTCTCAACAAAGCCTCCTCCCACATTCTCTGGAAATGGGCAAAAAGTAAACCAAGAACCTGGTTATCCTATATCCATAACCCTTTTTGGACAACGTGCCCTCTCTCAGCATTGCCTTAGCTTTCAAGGCTCAGAAAACTACTACAACTGTAATTGTCAGAATTAAGTCCAATGAATCAAATTCTCAAAGGCCTCAGAGTAACTCATAGAAGGTTTACATACATAAAATCAGCCAATAGTTGTCTTGTCTTCTCCCCATTCCTCCCTCCTCCCCTCACAGCGTGAGCCATTTGCTCTCAAAAATACAGTGACATTAAATAGTACAATATACTTACAGCCAGATACATAGCTGCATATATGCTTAGTGCTGCTTCTTTGGATGGGAATGTCTTTCTGGCTTTCATGATAAGGTCTGGATTTCCAGTACAGGCATGTACGCTACTGATGAACTGTGTATACTGTTTACATCCAAGTGCTGTATAGTTGGGTTTACAAAGTGCAAGAAAATGTGGTGCAAGATTCCCTGTTACTACTTGTCCAGCATTTACAAAGATGTCCGTAGCAAAGAGTCCAAATGCGTAAATTCCTAAAGAGGGAAACAAAGAGTTAAATTTCCTGATAATTTCACTCCAGGGCAACACATTATAGTATTTATCATAGTAATATACCAGCTCCTTCCATTTAATAACATGAAAAACCCTGACGTGTATTGTACCCTACAGATCCTGGCTCACATTGGAGATAGTACTTTCCTACACAACCACAGCAGCAACACTGCAATGTACCCGCACACCCGATCTCTCTCCAACCTTCGGAGGAGCACGCTCACCTCTTGTGCAAGCAGCCCACTTTCCTAGGCCCCCTAGCCATGAATCTCCACTGTTCGGGGTATCTAGCTGTGCTGGTAAGCTAACTTTTGCCCATGTTCACTAAACAGAAGTGACAGAGGCAAATTCTTCACCCTATAAATCTGCTTGAGAACCAAGGAAGTCAGGCCCTGATGGAGAAGTAACTTGAAAAGTCGTAGCACATACTGGACAAACATTTTCTTTCCCTTACAGCTGTAAAGAAGCTGAAGTACTGAATAATTCAATATTGCCATGCACGAGTTGTCTTCATCTGCCTGCTACTGGGTACATCTCTGTGCATGGCATATTAATCGCAATACCAACACAGTGAGCTAAAGATCTATATATCTGAGGAGCTACTTATGCTAAAGAGTTTTTTTTATCAGACATATCAGCAAAGCATTAAGCACGTGTACTGTTCATTAGACTGGAAATGCATGTATCTGATTACTTCAAAGGAAACAGATTTCTGCTGTTCTGAGGTCCCTTTCTATCCTTCTGGAGGCAGGAAATGAGCTCTGGAAGGAAATGCAAACACAGCACCCTGACAGGGAGGCAAAGCCAGCAGGTGTGTATTCAAATTCCACCTGAGCTACAGATTTTCTCCTGTATTTCCATGGGCAAATCACCTTACCTTTCCCATACTTCAATTCACTGTGAATATAACATGAGTTCTGGTAGTTCCCAGCTTCATGAGGCACCATGAGGACGTTAATGGATGTACACCACAGTAGACACGATCCCACAGAAGCATGTGCGTTTCTAAAGGTCAGATTGTTTTCTCAGCAAAGATAGAGGACTGAGGATGATTTCTGGGATTCTGGCTGGTTAGCAATGTCACACTAACGTTAATTCCCCCTGAGCTGCTAGACACTGGTGAGCAGCGAACTGTGCCTAGCTGAGTCGCTGCACAGAAGGGCCCTTTCAGCAAGCCCTGAGGGTGTGCACTGCCCCAGCACAGGCGGCCACATCTCTTTGCGTGAGCATAACAGGTAGTGATGCCTCATCTGGTAGAACAGTGCGGAGGCCATTGGTCATCCCTTCCCTCCCTTCCAATTTTTTTTTTTGCTTTTGTGAGCAAGGAGGTCCCACCAAGTGGGAAGGAAAGGCGGGCACTGATTACACACAGAGCAACTGGAGCGGGAGAGGCTCCTCATCATCACTCCCCACCTCCTCTGGACCTATGGCAAGACAGTCTCACCCTTCAGGACTTCTAGCACTCCAGTGTGACAGAGAGCAATCGCACTCTCGAAAGGCAAGCACGGCTGTTACACAAACACTGCAAATACAGACACAGCTGCACATCCCCTTCCTCCCCCTGCAACTGGGGCCCACAGGAGGATTAGCTGCCCAAGGCTTCGTTCCTCCAGCTGTTTCTCTTAGATACAACCATGAGCAAGAATCAAACAACAGAATTGAACCCTGCTATGGCATCCCTGCACGTATTAAAAAGCACCACCTGGAAATATTCAACAGACATTTTGAGTGGTGGTACCTCTCCCTCCAAACACATTTACAATGAACTAAGTGGAAAGGATGACATCCCGTATCTGCTGAAGTCAATGCGGGAGTTACAGCTGACTTCAGTGGAGTCCACATGGATTTTGTACAGTTTTCTGCTAGAGACTATAACACAGTCTCCAGGCTAAGAAAGTACCTAAACCAGGCCTGGCTTCAAACACACATTTATATCCCGATGTCTTCAACTTTGGCTGCTATGTGTGTGCGCAACCACAAGAAAACTATCAACTATAGATAGAGCACAAGGATATCTCCTCTCTCCACTTCACCCCACTCCTCGCCTGCTGGTTGTTTTTCCCCCTTGTGGTCCCAATTTTTACTGCTGTTTCTGCAACTATTTTTTTATTCAAACTTCCAAGAAGCTTCATTTGCTACCCAAAAGGAAACAACTCACTGCACCTGTGTTAAGACTACACCTCAAGTGTTGTATGGTTATCTGAATGTTTTCCCCAGGTCAAAATTAAGACATAATTGATCACTCTCACCATTCAGAAAATGAAAGCATTAATTTTGCTCATACCAAGGAATCTGATGGTCCTGCGCACCAGTGGATTTATATAACAACAGTCTCCAGTTAATATTGTTTTTTCTTGGTTTTCAAAATCCTTTGTAGCTAACTGTAGACAAAACACTGCAGTTTCTCCAACGATAATCTTAGGGAAGGAGAAAAAAGGGGAGAGAAATGGCAGATCAGATTACAATGAGTAAAATATACTAATATTACAGAGATGGCTATCTCATCTTAAGGAAACAAGACCAAACCAGCACAAAAGACAACATAAGTGAATTGAGTTCTGTACGTTAATCTTCTATGAGGGAAATATGCCTTACAGCTTGCTTTTCTTTATTTGCATTAAAAAAGAATAAACTTGGAATCAACATAACATAACCTAGTTTTCAGGATGAGGGGAAAGAGAAAGGAATCTATTAGTTCAAGAACAACAGATTGCATAATGCACAAGATGCGGACCAAAGTAAAGGCCTAATCCTTGAAGATGCTGAACATTTCAGTTCCCACGTGACTTTCACTGATACTCAGCACTTCACAGTGTTGAGGTCTAAATTTTGGACTGGGGGGGGGAAGGGAAGAAAAAGAAGAAGAAAAAAAATCACAACAGAGCGCCTGTTCACTTCAGAGGATTCATTTGCCAGGACATACTTAACAGGGTTTGATTCATATTTTGCCAGCCAAGTTTATCAAGTCTGTCTTTAGCTTTGTTCCTCATGCTTGAACAAAGTGTCACCACTGATATTTTAGCATTAAGCATGTCCTGTTTCACATTCATTACACCAAATAACGTTCTCACATCTATAGATCATTCACATTACGGTTGGTGAAAAATTAAAAAAAAAAAAATCACAAATAAATAAAAGAAAAATATAGATTTTGAGTGTAAAATATCCCCTCTAAGATGTGTTTTTACCAGTACAGCAAAACATGACCTTTAATTTACTCATGACAACTATGGTATTGAGACTTAATAGCCAAAGCCAAGCCTTAAGTGTGTATCTATCTAAACCTATGACACAGGTATTTACCTATTTACAACAGGTAGCACAGGTATGATCAAAAAGAGTAGAGCAGAAGGGTCAAATACTGAGCACTGTATTCCAGCTTTGATTCACTGTGGGACTTAAAGGTAAGGCTCTTCCACTCTTCTGTATGGAAAGCAGTAAAGTTTATTGATAGGTACGTCACACTTTGATAAACAGGAATGAAGACCAGCAAACTGAAGTCTTAATACTACACAAATACAAGAAATAATGCCATCAAATCTGATTCATTGCCTAGGTTTTTCTAAACCTTTGACCTAACAGGAAATTATAAACCTTTTCATATATCACAATAGGTCTGAACAGTTTTACACACAGCACTGGTTAAAAAAACAAAAACAAAAAAAACCCAAACAACAAACCAACCAAACAACAACAAAAAACCCAAACTATGGGCGATGGCTCATAAGCACACTTTGTTGTCAACAGGAAAAATGCAATTAAGGACCTTACATAGTTATTTGTAGATCTACACAGATGACTTTGGGCTAAATTGTGACACACAGAGGAGGTGAGTGCTTCATATAAATAATGTGGCACAAATAACAAAAAATAACTGTGGTGGCAAGCGTGTAAGAAGCAAAATTCAGTTTGTCACAGAAACAGTCATCATCTATTACTTTAGACTGGCTTCAGATCCTAGTGGGATTTTTAGATGAAACAGAAATTTCAATACCCGAACTAAAAAGTATCCTCTCTCTACTTTGATGCAAACAAATTTTCAGCATACTGAAGTACAGTTCCTTCATCTATAATTAACAAATGATGGGTACACATATGAAATGTAACTCAACCTTGAATTCAAGGTCATCAAAATTATGACAACGATAAGGAAAATTCAGCCCAATGACCCCTACAGCTCTCACAAAAAACCAAACTAACAAAAAACCAGTTTTAATATGATTCATAAAGGTGAGAACTGAAACACTAAGATTTTCACTGTGAGTCATAGTAGCTCCCTTCTTTCCTCTGGAATAATGAAACATCAAGGACTAGGCAACCTGAACACAGTCAGATTCTGCATTTTACTGATTTTTTTTGCCAAACCCAGTAAATTTCAGTAAAATTTTTGCAGATTTCCAAACTCCAAGAAAAAGCAGACTCCAGCACAAGGGAAGCATCTGTGATATACAGTGCTCAACCTCTTGCAAGAACACAAAGAGAAAGTGTGCCAGCAAGCTCAGCTCTCCAGCTCTGAGCAGAGTCTCTGAATCGCTGATCTAAGAATGCAGGTTCTCTTTTGGTTGGTAGGGAAGCTGGGGTTAGCAAATGGGAGAACTGCTCATTCAGTTATAGGAAAGGAGATCCTCGCTTCCAGCAACCTGTCTTCATCAGCTGCATCTAGGTCCTTGCCACTGGCAGCGATTTTTCCTTGTTACATGTCCTGTCTTTGATGGTGACCTGGATGAAGAAAACCCTCTGCTCCAAGAATAGCAGGGAGCAGTGTTCAAGTTCTTAGCTGAACGAAGATACTCTTACAGTGGGTACGCAGGTGCAAGGGTCAGAACGATGCAGAACTCGGCTAAAGACAAAACTTTTGCTATACTACGCCTAGTGCTCTACCCTCAGAAGTAATCAGAGTGGGATATGCCATTGAGCACAACAGGCATTAATCTCTGTGCTTCTGTGGCTTTACTTTGACAGAATCGTTCTGGAATTCGGCAATAAATACAGGTTCTGTATTTTTCTGTACTGGCAGCTCAGCTAAAGCTCTTCTCCTTCCTCCACCCATCAGCACAAGTGCTGCTCATCTCAATAATCAGCCTATTGATGTTTCAGAAATGGGAGGAAAATCTGTTTCAACCTCAGTAAGTCCCAGGAGAGACCCTGTTTCCCAGTGCAATTTCTTCCCCGTCTTCTCTCCGGCACCACTGGCAATAATCAGCTCTACAGGGCAGAGGAAAGGGAGGGCAATCTCCCTCTTGCCCTTTACCATAATTTGCATGCCTGGTATATTCTGGGAAGGAAAAATTTCTGTATTCCCTCTGGCACAGGGACCGCCATTACCCCTTCCACTGCATATGTGAGTTGCAACCAGTCAACAAATAACATTTAATATAATAGAATTACTCGTGTACTTCTTGGCTAAGTCTTGGGGCAAAAAGTTTTTGGAATATTCCAAAACTGACAGTGAAAGATTGCAATGGAGAATCTGAAAGCTCTGACAACATAAACTTTTGGGCAGAGCTACACAAGTGCAGGTACAAAAATATAATTTGCAATGAAAGTGAAGATACTAGAAGTATCTTTTACCTTATTCTGTCTAACAGGATCATACTACTTTAGAGCACTGTACAGATTTCCTGAAGAATGATAGATATTAAAAATCTTAGCTTACAGATATTTTAACAGGTCTTAAAAGCAGAGGCCATCGTTTCCCTAAGTCTGAGAAATCCTTTTGGCATATAATTACAGCATGTAAAGCATAAGGAAAAGAACAATTTTCCCCTGAAGACTAACAATACAAAGTGCAGGCTTGCAGGCAGTATTCTAAAGAACATATATGAAAATAATTTTCACAGTCCTTAGATAAAAATGCAGTGTACATAACTGTTACAGGAAAGAGCAAGACAAGAATGATCACCTGACGGGCATCGGCCTAAGGTCTGACAGGCAGTGATCAGGTCCTTATTCTACTACACCTTCCCTCCATAACCACAGGGAAGGCCCTTAGTCCTGGTTCACAATATGAACTGTAATAGGAACAATACAAAAATCACCTCACATAAAGATATTTAATATTAATATATACTTCATAACCGGCATTTAGATAATCCTTTCTTTTTATGGAAGCATGGAAAAGAAATATTAACCCAGAAAAATCTAAATTACAGGAAAGTTCTCATAACCATCTCCATAGCAATTGTATCCTGTCTGCAATGTGACAACCCATTCGACAGCCAGGAACAGAGTTTGGGAGGGGTGAGATCTAAAATTAATATTTCTTCTTGTTTCACTTCTTCGCTCCTGATTAATTTATTAGCTGATTGATTTTCATGGTGGTTTTGTACTAGGAATATATTTATTGCCAACCACCCAATGCTTGTCCCTTTCCTCGTTTTCTGTACGGGATATGTACAACGTTTAGCACACATTCCCTACCCCGACTCCTTCCTCCCAAGTAAGTTCATTTCTTTTTCTGTATTAGTCATTTTTCTGAATCCAGGCAAGCTGTTCCTAGTTTTAGCACTGCATGTCAATTTAGAAATCTAATTTGTCCTTACCAAAATCATCCATCCAGTGTATTCTTAACTTGGTTCTAAATTCCAAGCTCTTTTTCAAATTGAAATGTCAAACCTGACTCATTCCAAATACTAGAGCTAGAGCAGCTCTGACCTTGTTGATTTTCCAGCAAACTGACTCCATAAACAAACTTCTCCTAGTGTCACATATGGTTTACAACAGCCAGCACCTATATAAATAAATGACCTTAAATCTGCACTTCTGAAATACTAATGAGCTTTATTTTATGGACTACCTTCTCATACATGACGTAACTTCCTATAAAAACCCAGGATTCAAGTAAGAATTAAACATTCATTTAGATGACAAGATATCTGAGGGTATATTAATACATTTAAACGGGATAAATCCTGAAATTTAAGGTTGATAATCTCTATTTGGGATTAGAAAAGAAATTCCTGTATACACATTCATAGATCTTTCCAGCTAACACCTACTTTAGGGTATACAAACGTTCATGAAATATTTCATATGGGCCAGGGAACGTGGTAGAATACACGATTCCCTCTCTGCCAATTCTCAGGGTTATGCTGTAGCTACAGCAACCACTCAGATAGATGAGTAACACTGAAAAGCAGTTATTGCATTAAAAAGACCACTAAATATTTATCCATGTTCTGAACTTCTCAAGTTAAAAAAAAAAAAAAAAAAAAAAAAACAGTTGACAATACTGTGCACTGTAATTTCTCCTCTGACTTCTTTTCATTCATTGTATTTCCCTCATTTAGGCATGACTTGAACCCTAATCACGGCTTCTGTGAGACCATCTTCAAGAAATAACATGGCAAAGGATTGTACCTTTGGGGAATGAGCATCTCGGGCAGTCCACAGCTCTGCTTTTCTCTCTAGAGTGAATTTTCTCATATTTCCTTATCAGGCAAGAAGGGAAGCTGGGAACTGGAGCTAAACATCTCGGGGATGATCTCTGTATCTCTAGTCAAATTGTTATCATTTAAGTTGCATGGCCTCCCCATTCATTTCACTTATGCATTCCCACTTAAAACGTGTGGAGTAGATTTCTTTTAAAAATATGGCTTCCATAGGCTTTGTTGTTCGTGTTCTTTATCTTTTCTTCTTAACTTTTAGCAAGACCATGGGCTATTTCTGGCCTATTTCCCCTTGAAAAATGCCATCAACATACCACAGAGCACAGTGGTCTCTAGAGTTTGGAAAACCTAGCAGCATAAACCTCGGTCTGTAGTGATGCTGTAGGTAAGCTCCACTGTCTGCTTTAAGCTAAAATTGCTGTGTGAGGTGACAGCCCTGGCAGGAAAAGCAGCAACAGTATTTCCAGCAGTAGCAATTTCAAGTTCATTATGCAGAGCTTTCCCTTGAGGCCATTTTCTTTGTTGTTTTTCTTGTTCTCATTGCTTCTTGCTTGCTTAAACTGACAGCAAATGCCCTGGTTGATTTTCACAGAAGTTCATTTTCTATAGTAAAAAATGACCAGTAGTTTTGAGGAAAATGAAAAAATAAATCCTAGATAAATCTGTCTGCTATTGAGAAAATACAAAATATCTTGCCTTGCATTCAGCATGGAGATATAGGACCATACTGCATAGGAGCTTCTGAAGGTCTAGAGAAAAGATGTGAAAAGAAAATTGCTTTTCTAGAGGAAGATGTGGAAAAAAATACCCAGCTTTTTTTTCCAGTAAGTTTTGTTTTAAAAATATGTACTCTCCATTTTTGAGAAAAATATCAAAATCTTAATAGAGTTCTTGGTATATATTTGGTCATGGCCATTTACAAAAGAAAAATAGCTATATAAGATTATATATCTAACAGTCAAATATTATCTGCTTTACTTATTTCTCTGTAGTGCAGAGTATGGCTACATGTTACTAAACACTAATGTTAGTTTTGATAGGGACCAATATTCTTTACTGCTATTTGTAATACATTGTACACATGGTCAGTACGTAACAATGGTAAAGGTTGCTCACTTCATGAAGCCTTTATTGCCATTTGAAAGCAAGAAGCACATAATAACCAAGCATTTATAACCAGGGAGCTTCAAGTGAACCCCATGAGCACATAATTAGAGAGACATGGACAACTTCATCATTCTCTGAATTATCTTCATTCATTACTCTACCATATGACAGAAAAAAAATGAAATATTTTTAAGTACAGTGTCTCTAAAAGCTTCCTCCCCCCCCCCTTTTTCTGTTTTTTCCCCCTGAGTAATTGATCATGTATGCAAATGGTGTCTCCTCTAGAGCATGCCTACATTATCCAACAGGCAAAGCCTCTGCTCAGCAGCACACTGTCACCAGGGCTGGAAGCACACAATGCCAGAGCAAAGATTGGTTACGTAGAAGACCATTTTGAGAAACAGTTACCAGGACCCCACTATTCTGAGCGTACCTAAGAGAAGGGCCTTGTGCCATCACCACAGAGGGCCAGAGGGCGAGCCCTGGCACATGACGGCAGGTCCTGCGTTTGATGCTCTGCAACGGAAGCAGAGGGGCGAGCAAGCAGCCCCACAGGCTGCGCCGGCCCTGCCGGGCTCCGCCTTGACGGGAACATCTGCTCCACATTCAGCCCACTTTACCCACTGCGCTTGGCATTACATCCCCTGCTCATGTCTACGAAACCTCTTCTATCGCTGGGAGATGAAAAGCATTCAGCTGCTCTGCACTGCAGCTCTCCAGGGGATTAGAAATGGCCAGGACACTAGGAAAACAAGCTCAGTAATGCTAACATGGCAGTCTGGGAGCCAGATAAGTGTCTGGCACCTGGCTCCAAAACTATCTAACTGCTGGCTCAGTTTCACAATACCGAGACAAATATTCTTGGTGAACACATTCCAAGAGGTAGTAGATAACAGGCTTTGGTGAGAATTCTGGCCCTTGCACAGAGCTTTTCTGATTTTAAAAAATAACACCCAGAAGCTAGAAAAAAATATTAAGCTAGAGAAAATTCTCACCATCTAAAAAAACTAGTCATTTTGATCTGAAAATGGTGAGGGGAAGAGAAAAGAATTAATTCAAAACTGCCTTCTAAAAGCATCAATTCACATTTCAAAAGGTAAAATTACTTCAGGCTGAAATATTCCAGATAAGGTTCTTATAATACGGAATTCATACAGGTTTTAAGTTGTTGCCATTTTCTTTTTACAAAAACGAGGATGCCGTTATCCAAAGTTTCCAAGCTCCACACTTCAGTCTACAAACACACCTTGTTAGGAAGACGGGTTGTAATATGACCAGAGATCAACTAATTTTAGTCTCCTGATCTCTGAGTGATACTTGAAAAAGGTTGTTGTTACATATAATTATTTCATTAGGGATTTTGAAAAAAAACTTTACGTCAAAATTTTTCTTTTTTCAGGTGTTTAGCTTCAACCTTTAAAATACCATAATATTTGCAAAGGAAAAACAAAATGTTCAAAGCCCTACCATTTAGCTTCCCTATTAGAAGATGAATTCCATACAGCACGATCAGATCTGCACACAGCTGCATCAAGGAAGTCTTCTATTGGACTTCAAGTGATACGTGTGAAAGACTGCGGTTCCTTATGGCCCGGTCTTGGTAAACCCCTTTGTTTCTTGTGTGTCCAAGAAAACAGTACTTTGTTCTCTGTTCAGGGAAATTGGTTTCTTAACCCTTCTGTGCACGTAGATAACGTTATTCCCTGATGAGCACAATACCAATGCTTATGATACCCATACCAACGATCATTTCCAACAGCGATGTTACTTTACGCTTTAAATCTTAGGTGATCTACACAACTGCACTCTTCTACCCAGGATGAACACTCAATTGCAAAATTCAACATAAACGGTCTTTCATCCCTGTTTGAATAAAAACTCATCACATAAAAGGCATCGCTTAAAGATTCTGGTCACAAAGCAGTGGTTTTAGTGTCAGTATATGACTGGAGCCAACTGTTCTCAGAGGCTCAGAGGAAGGAGAATATCTGAATTTCTTGCTTTTCACACTGTCTTACTTCTATCTCACTGCTACTCAAGGCCAGCCACATTTTGCAGATACATAAATCCTGAGATCAGTTCAAGGAAAGCCACTTTCACTGAAATGCCATCGTCCTCAAAGAACCGAAGCTGGAGGACCAAACACTGTACTAGTATAAGCACCCTGTGTTTTAATATAACTATGAGAAAAACAGGCTGCACATATGATTAATAGCTGTAAGATTCCACAAAAATTGGTTTTTTGGATTTTTGTGACAAAATATGTGTGTCTGCAAAACATATACATGTAATTGTTTTTTACTTATGTTTGATACTGTCAATTAGTATTTGATTCATAATGATAAATTTAAGTAGACAGCTCAATAAAACAATTCTACACCTTTTTATTAAAAATTACCTTCAAAATAAAATAGCTTTCTTCGAAAGCACATAACTAGCTCCATTCCTATTATAATGGCCTCTGTATAAGCATCTCTTCCTTTACAATTATCTTAGGCTACAGTATAATTGCCAACTCACCAAATACATTAAGGTCATTATCTTTTTCCAGTTGAAATCAAAGGTAACATCCCCACTAAATTCAACAGGGGTTGGATTAGTCGTGAAAACCTATGGCACTCCAGATTAAGAGCAATACTTCAGTCACAGTGGGGAAATGGCTCTTAGCTATGTATGCCAGCCCAAGAAGATAATAAAACAAAACCAGGAAGGCAAGCCAATTTTACAGGGGAGTAGTACTAAATATTTAGGAAAGAGGTTTAACAGGTCAGATAAATCAGAAAGAAAAGTCCCGAACTGTAATGCCCACTCCTGCGCGTATTACCTTGAAGTCATTCTTATATAACACTTTATAGTCTTCATGTTGTCAGCATTACTGCAAAGGATCCAGGTGTCATTAAAAATGAGTTAAAAACACTTTAAAAGCCATTGCATGGCAAGCATCTGATCCAGAACTATGACTTTATTCTGAGCTGTCTCACATCAGGGTTACTTGCGCGTAGCACGTACATTCAGCATAAAACCTGCAGTAAAACTACGGGGTAACAAACGCTGACAGTATTAATCCACATTTATAGTTCTCTGAAAGCCAGGAAACAAATGACCAAATAAAACCTCTCAAAGAAAAGCAGAGACTGCAACTTGTATTGACACTTCAGTGCCGGTCAAAGCGAATGAAACCGTGGCTCTACCGAAGTTAACTTCTGAAGCTTCGCTGACTTCAGGCCGACCCAGGATGTTATTCCTGGCACGGTCACTAGAGATGCTGGTCAGTGAGATCACTAGAGACGCTGGTCAGAGAGAAAGGATTGGAAAGAAAAGGAGATCAGAAGTCCCTCTTCCAGGCACGCCCCAAACAAAGATACAGATACAAAACAATGTGTGACCATTCACCCGCCTCTCTTTCCTCACCCCTGAAAGCTACAATTTCACAGCGTGCAATTATTTCTCAAGAACGTTATTCTAATAAATTAATATATTGAAGTAGTGTTTATTAGAAACAGAATCTTAATGAAGGCATAGAAGTGGGAGCAGAGAACTGTTTATGAGCATCAGAAGTTTTAATAATTACTTACCTCTTCTCTTAACAATGCAATGGTAGTGAATTAGCCAGCAAGCTTTTTCACAGAACATTGCATAGCAGTAGCATATCCCATTTGTCTTTATTTGATACGTCTACACGTAGAAAGACCGTTTCAATAATGATTCTGTATATCCCATCGATCAAATATGGGGCATTTACTTTATGGTTTTCTGCAAATATGATCTGCACCCCTCTTGTCACTCTTTCAACTCTGCCACACAATGTCTATTTTACTGCTCCTGCCACAAATCCAGATGGCTGCAGATGTGCAGCTGGCAACACTATGTTGTCTGACCCTGTTTAGGAGTTTACACAATGCAGTGCTTGAATTAAGAGGAAGTCCCAAGTGCCCTCATTAGCACAGCAGCCAATGAGCTGAAACAGGAGCAGCAAGAGTGGGAAATTTTAGCAGAAAATTCCTAGTACAGGAAATGCCTAGAAGACAGAGGGGAGATTGTATACTTTGCTGTGAAGACAGCAGAGTATAAAAACAGCTCTTTTAGGCATGCAACGGTATTCTGAAAACTAATTGGGAAGTCTATAGGCCAAAGTAAGCCCAGCTACTCTTCTTCAGTATGTGACTGTATCTCCTTCCACTCATAAAACAGGGCATAATGGCTTACCTTACAAGGATCACCTCCTTTGCATAGAACTTTAAAATAATAGTAAACATGTTGCTGGCTTTATCGACTATCTTCAAAAAAGCTCAAGTGGCAAGAGAAGTGTTTTAAGGATGAATGAGTCTACTTAAAAATCTTAGATCTTGTGAAGCTTTGACATTGCCTGTCTTCAAGGCACACTTTGTAAGAGCTGGCATTTGGTCTTCTCTGTGAAGACAGTAACGGGGTATTAGATAAAATACATAATTGTTATTTAAATGTATGAACATATATTGTGTTTTTAATCGGTGTTGGATGTAGCCTCATTATTTGAGCAACTTAAATTATTACTAGAAAAAGAAGTTCAAAGCATGCTGTGTTGAAAGGTGCTTTCACACATGCAGTGATGCAAGAACCTTTTTAGGTATTCTGGTGCGGTGAACTAATTCTTTCAGGCACTACTTTTTTTGCCATTGGCATTCAAGGTTAAAAACACATGTGCTAAACTATGGATACAAATCAACCACGTAAACATGATGATTTTCTGGCAGCACATTGTGCATACACACTCATATATGTAAATATATTGAGTTTTTTTAAAGAAATAGTCTCTGCTTTATTATTTCCTTCGACTTCTAATCACACAACAATCACAATCAATTCATAAACATAAGAAATATTAGAGTAAAACTGCAATACTGACTCTTAAAATGAATGTGGTTCAATGAAAAGATTCTATCAGCATCATACTCATTCACATACACTATTCCATCTCAGGAAAGCCTTGCTATTTCAAGTAGCACTGAAGCATATGATTAAATCCCACCAATACCAAGACAGTGAATTAACAATTAGTACATACCTAGCTCTTGTATAATTCTTTTCATGCACAATTCTCCTAGTGCTTTACAGAGAAGCCTAGTTTCACAATTAACACTTGACAGCTAGGCAGTAAAGGCTAAATGTACATCCTGCAAGGCAAAGCCCGACAGACGCTCACAGCCCAGCTCCGTACGTTCATTCTGCCAGCTGCAGATGTCTGCGAACTACTTACATACTCCAAGGTCAGCCTGCCTACAAATCTCATCTGCCTTTGCTAAACGCTCTGGAAAAAGTCCCTGTGACTGACTGAAGCGCTGATTTCAGTCAAGCATGAGCACTTGGCAAAGAGGACCATCCTCACAGCCGGACCATCCTCATCACCATTCACATGAGCATGCTTGTGGCCTACAGTACAATGCAGCACAAGCTCCTCATTCCTCCCTCAGGCCTCTTGGATGCTCACGCTCATGTCTGCGCAGTTTGAATGCACGATGGCAGCAGCCTCAAGCCTGGCCTCATGGCAGAGCCCAGATACACCCCAACAGGTCCAAGGACGGCCCGCATAGGCACAGGAGAGGCAGCAACTGAGCAGTGAAGAAGCTCTGGACACCAAGCTCGATCTACGTCAGTACGATCAAACTACTATTAAGTATGCACTGAAACTCAGGCACGTCCGCCTATTGTTCTGCACACAGATGAACTTATGCACAGAGCCATGCACTTCTGCAAATGGGGAGGTCAGACTTCAGACATCA